TATATATATATATATAATATTTTAAGGGTATGTTTGATTTGATGAAATGGAAAGGAGGAAAAGAATTTTAATGAAAAAATTGAATAGGAAAAGGGGGAAATGATGAGAGGTAACAAGAGTGGAGAGATTTTGATTAGACATTCTATTTTTTATGAGTAAAATAATAGAAAGGGAATGACACCCCATGATTATTGGGTAGGGAGCTGATGACATATTGGGAATCCTCATATTAAGAGTCATTATCTACTTAGTGATTAGTCGAAATTCAACAGTGCCTAATTTGATTTAAGACTTTATTTGTCGATTTGATAGTTAGTAGAGACACACTAGAGGAATTTCACTTCTAGTGCTAAAGGATCTCTTTGAATAGGTTTGTTCACCAAAGTAGAATTTTATGATCACATGGGATATCAAACTCGTGTCATGAGAAACACAAACTCACACTAGATCCTATACAATTTGTGTCAACTCATGATAACATGATTAGACATTTTATTTGGCTATAAGGATGAAGATAATGAAAGAGAAAATAAAAATTTTCTTATTTGGTTAACTAGGGAAGATAATGAATTTTAAAAATTAATTTATGTACTTTTATAATTTTGAATTTTAAAATATAAGTAAAGATATTTCAAATAATACACTTTAAATGTTTTTAATCCTCTCTTATATATCCTCCGAATTCATCAAATATTGAAAAGGAGTAAAAATTGAATGAGGAAGAATTTTCCTCTCATCCATTCTTCTCTTTTCTTAAAATTTAAAAGCAAAATAGTAGAAGCATTTTCATATGTTTTGAGAATATTAGCAATAACTTCAACTTCTCAGTTTTGCACCCCGAAGAAAATAAAACAGTCATCAGCAAACATAAGGTGGTTAACAATAGGAATTTGTCTACGTACAAAGCTGAATCCTGTGAATATCAGCATTGGCCTCCGCCTTTTTAAGGAGCCTAGATAAAGACAAACAAGTAGGGTGACAATTCAACACACATAAGGAGCGAATGAATCCATTTTGTACTAGTAGGCACCCCCCTTTTGACCTGATCAAAGGCCGAATACACCAAAACCGAAAGACACCCCTTCGGCCCTTGGCCAAGCCGAGTACCCCCCTCAGCCCAAGTACAAACCAGCATCCTGCAAATATCCAATCCACCCTAGACACCCCTTCGGCCCTAGACCAAGCCGGATACCCTCTCGGTCCCAGCCCAAGCCGAATACCCCTTCGGCCCTGGACCAAGCCGAATACTCCCTCGGTTCTAGGCCAGGCTGGACACCTCCTCAGTCTCAGATCAGGCCAAATACCCCTTCGACCCTAGGCCAGGCCGAATACCTCGTCGACCTTAGGCGTGACCGAAGGACTTAAGGTAAGGAGAACTCACATGAACACGTGGCAAATTAGATACCTATTATACAATAATTACCATGCCTGATTAAGGGGAGATTAAGGTTAATTAAAATGTTACCCATCTCCCAAGACAAAAGGCCCACCAGGCCCAAACATGTCACATAAATACACAGGTGATGGGACATAAATGAGGTACGATTTATTCCATATAAAAGCACTTATTGCTCTATAACGAATACTTACTTGATCGTTGGAGTGCCTTTGCAGGTACCCTCCCCCCCCTTGGGAGACAGTATTCGGTCGGCACCGAAGACTTGGAAGATCAAGAAGAAAGAGCGACGAGAGGAGTGTTTCTACGCAGGAACATTTTGGCGCCCACCGTGGGGCCGAAACCAGAACGGTTCTCGACCCTGAAGCAAGATGGTAATGACAAGAAGTCAGCAAGAAAATGCAGCCGACTATCCATTCGGGATGCCCCGCGACACCACTAGACAGCCAACTAATCAGAACTAGGAGGGAATGGAAGAATCATATGTGGACCGGTCCTAGCAACCCAACCCTTCATCGGCCATCGAGCAGCTGAAGGCCGAAATGATGGAACTCAAGAGGCTCCGAGAAAAGGACGCCCATGAATTATCGATCTTGAGAAAAGAGAATGCCAAGCTCAGAAGTGATAACCAGTCATGGCATCCGTCCCATGATATCCCCAACACCCAATCAACCTGGGACCACGGGGAGTCATCCGGATGGTACAAAGAAATGAGGGATCCTAAGCACTCAGCAGGAGTGACGACTACTACTCTCGATCAGCAGCGACGACAAGGAAGGACCCCATTCACCCCGAACATTGCCAGAGCCCGTCTACCCGACAATTAGAAAAACTTGGCCCTGGAGAAGTTTGACGGCACCACCGATCCAGAAGAACACCTTGATGCGTTCGTCACCCAGGTCGGTTTGTACACCGACGATGATGCGATCATGTGTAAAGTCTTCCCTACTTCGTTGAAAGGACCAACGCTCAATTGGTTCATGAGACTTCCTCCCGGATCGGTAGACTCGTTCACGGCCCTATCTTCCCGGTTCGTGATACAGTTTGCCACAAGCCGTCCGCATCAGCTAACGTCAATAGCACTGGTTAACATCCGCCAAGAAAAGAAGGAACCCCTGAGGACTTTCATGGAGAGGTTCGGAAAGATGACATTGTCTATTCGCGATTTGGACCCGGCCGTGGCAATGCATCACTTAACCACGGCGTTGCGGCCTGGGCCATTCGTTAACAGTCTGTGTAAAAAGCCACCCTGAGACCTTGACGACCTGAGGCAGAGAGCCACGAAGTACATGCAGATGGAGGAATTGGCCGAGTTTCGAAATCAAAACCGACCTGACCTGTTTCTCGCCAAAAAAGAAAGTGACAAGGAGCCTCCCAGACCCCGCCCCCGAGACATAACTGATCGTGAGAAGAATAACAGAGGCCCAAGGTATACGCAATACATGCCGCTTAACACCAGCAGGGCCAAGGTGTTAGAGCAGGCTTTAGCCACAGAAGTACTAGTTGTTCCATGAAGAGCTATGACCCCGCCTCGCGCCGATAAGACGAAGACATGCCAGTTCCATCGGAATAGGGGGCACACTACTGAAGAATGCTCTGCCCTTTGGGATCACATCGAAGATCTCGTCAAGGCCGGCCATCTTCAGAACTTCATTCGGTCGACAAACAACAGAAGGAACGACTACCGCCCTGGTAGAGGGGAGTACAGAAGGGACAACCGAGATCGAGCACCTCCACGGAACCGATCCCGTGAGTGCAGCAGGTCCCAAGATAGAAATAATCAGCGAGACCGCAATCAGCCTAGGCGAGTGATAAACACTATTGCCGGAGGCTTCGTGGGAGGAGGAGGCTCATCTTCAGCCCGGAAGAGACATTTGAGGGCCATCAAGTCGGTCAACGCTATAGGGTGGGCGTCCCCCATCCGTATGCCCCCTATAACATTCACTGACCAAGATTTTCAAGGCATTGACCCGGTGCAAGATGATCCCATGGTCATCAGCGTAGAGATCAATAATTGTATCGTAAAGAAGACTCTGGTTGATTAGGGAAGTTCGGCGGATATCTTGTACTAGAAGACGTTCGAGCAACTGGGCATTCCAGAACAAGAGTTGACGCCTTACGATGAACCTTTGGTAGAGTTTTCGGGTGAACGGGTGGACACCCGGGGGACGATAGACCTGTATACCTACTTCGGGGATGACCAGCGTAGGCGGATCAAGGTGCGCTACGTGGTGGTGCATGCCAACACTTCGTATAACATTCTGTTAGGCAGACCCTCCCTGAACAAGCTCCGAGCCATCGTCTCCACCCCACATTTATGAAGTTTCCATCAGAGGAAGGGACCGCATGCCGATTAGAAGACAGCACGTGAATGTTACTTCGCTAGTTTAAAAGTACAACCAACCCCAAAGCCAAGACGAGATGTAAACGTCATCGGCGATGCTGGCCCACAGAAATTAGTTGAAGGCCTAGAACTTGATCCAAGAATGGAGGATGAAGATAGGGTCGAACCTATAGAGACAACGGTTCCTTTCCAGCTTGGAATGAATGAAGAACAGGTTACCTTTTTGAGTTCTCAACTATCTGAAACAGAGGCTGAAGATATTAAGCAAGTCCTACGAAAGTACTCGGATTTATTCACTTGGACTGCAGCTGACATGCCGGGCATCGACCCAAATTTTCATTGCCACCGTCTCTCAGTATGTCGAGACGCCAAGCCCATCGCTCAAAAGAAAAGAAAAATGGGTGGAGAAAAGGCCAAGGCAATAAAAGAAGAGACCGCCAAGCTACTCCAAGCAAGATTCATAAGGGAAGTCAAGTACTCCACTTGGTTGGCCAACGTGGTGATGGTTAAGAAATCAAATAAGAAGTGGCGGATGTGTACAGATTACACGGACCTGAACAAAGCATGCCCAAAAGACGCTTACCCTTTACCCCACATCGATGCATTGGTTGACGGAGCGGCCGACCATCAGAGATTGAGTTTCCTGGACGCCTATTCGGGGTATAACCAAATACCCATGTATCCACCGGATGAAGAAAAGACAACATTCATCACCGACTCGGCAAACTTCTGCTATATAGTAATGCCCTTCGGTTTGAGAAACGCCGGTGCCACCTACCAGAGACTCATGGACAAGATTTTTCGCCACCAAATAGGGACATGTCTAGAGGTATATGTGGATGACATGGTGATCCACTTGGTTGGCCAACGTGGTGATGGTTAAGAAATCAAATGGGAAGTGGCGGATGTGTTCAAATTACACGGACCTGAACAAAGCATGCCCAAAAGATGCTTACCCTTTACACCACATCGATGCATTGGTTGACGGAGCGGCCGACCATCAGAGATTGAGTTTCCTGGACGCCTATTCGGGGTATAACCAAATACCCATGTATCCACCGGATGAAGAAAAGACAGCATTCATCACCGACTCGACAAACTTCTGCTATAAAGTAATGCCCTTCGGTTTGAGAAACGCCGGTGCCACCTACCAGAGACTCATGGACAAGATTTTCCGCCACCAAATAGGGACATGTCTAGAGGTATATGTGGATGACATGGTGATCAAATCCACTTCAGGCACTGACCACTTAAAAGACCTCAGAACAATCTTTGATGAAGTAAGACGGCATCACATGCGCCTAAATCCAGCAAAATGCACCTTTGGGGTAGCTGGTGGAAAGTTCTTAGGATTCATGTTGTCAAAGAGGGGTATAGAAGCCAACCCCGACAAGTGTCAAGCTATCATCAACATGCAAAGTCATCGCAACATAAAGGAAGTACATCGGCTGGCCGGGCGCATCGCTTCTTTGGCCCGTTTTCTTCCCTGCATGGCTGAGAAATCAAGGCCCATAATGACCTTACTGAAAAAAGCCACCAAGTTTCGATGGAACGACGAGTGTGAGTTAGCTTTTCAGAACTTCAAGACAACGCTCACGACACCCCCATTGTTGACCAAACCGGACCCTCAACTGGACATGATAATATACATATCAGTGCCTGACAAAGCCATCAGCACGGTTTTGGTACAAGAAAAAATGGAATAGATGCCGGTGTACTTCGTCAATCGAGTGCTACAAGACGCCAAAACGAGATATCAGCATCTCGAAAAAATAGTGTTAGCTCTTGTGCATACTGCCAGGCGCCTCCGACACTATTTTCAGAGTCATCAGATGGTTGTCCGAACTGACAGCCCTATAACTAAGGTCTTGCAGAAGCCAGAGTTGGTAGGACGAATGGTCGCCTGGTCCATTGAACTCTCACAATTTGATATTCGTTTCGAACCAAGAGGACCCATCAAGGCACAAAGCTTGGCCGATTTCGTGAATGAATTCACACCACAGGTGCTTTCTATGTCCCACTTTTGGACCCTACATGTAGACGGATCATCAAACCAGCAAGGCAGCGGCGTCGACATCATTCTAGAAGGCTCGGGTGAAGTTGCGATCGAGCAATCGCTACGATTCAGCTTCAAAACGTCCAACAACCAAGCCGAGTACGAGGCCCTCCTAGCAGGACTACGGTTGGCACAGGACCTGGGCATCACCAAGCTACAGTGTTGGAGTGATTCACAAGTAGTGACGGGGCAAGTCAACGGCACCTTCCAAATCAAAGAACCAACACTATTGTTATACTTTCATGCTTTCCAGAAGCTGAAAGGCGACTTTGAAGATGTTCAAGTTAAGCATACACCCCGGGAACTCAACACGAGGGTTGATCAGCTGGCAAAGCTGGCTAGTAGCAAAAAGACCAGCCATTTACGCAGCATGATACAACAAGAATTGCAGAAACCAAGTATCACCCAAGCTGAATGTTTGCATGTTCAGCAAGAAACACCCAACTGGATGACCGGCATAGTTGAACACCTAGTAACCGGATCATTGCTCGCTGATCCCTTGGAGGCAAAGAAAATGAAGACCGTGGCGGCTCGATATACCTTAATCGGTGGGGACTTGTACAAAAGGGGAATCTCGTCGCCACTACTGAAATGCTTGACACCAGAACAGGCACATTATGTGATCCGAGAAATCCATGAAGGCATATGTGGGACCCATTCGGGGGCCGGACCCTTGCAACTAAGGTCATCCGAGCTGGATATTACTGGCCAACCTTGGTTACCGATTGCACAAAGTTTGTCCAACAGTGCAAACCCTGTCAACGACATGGGCCTTTGACACATCAGCCCCCCGAAGGGTTACATTCCATCGCCACCCCCTGGCCATTTTCTATTTGGGGCATGGATATCCTGGGACCCTTTCCGCCAGCGAAGGGACAAGTGAAGTTTCTCCTTGTGGCAGTAGATCATTTCACTAAGTGGATAGAAGCAGAGGCAGTGGCCACCATCACGGCTAACAACGTCCAGAAATTCTTCTGGAAAAACGTCATTACCCGTTTTGGAATCCCGTACGCTTTGATCACAGATAATGGATTACAATTTACCGACCGCCGTTTCAACGAATTTCTATCCGGATTACGCATCAAGCACAAGATGACCTCGGTAGAACATCCTCAATCCAATGGGCAAGCAGAAGCGGTGAACAAGGTCATCCTTAAAGAATTGAAGCGACAACTCAGACAAGCTAAAGGGACGTGGCCCGATTGTTTGCCTGAAATCCTATGGGCTTACCATTGTACCCCACAAAGTTCGACTCGGGAAACCCCCTTTTCGGTTAACCTACGACACAGATGCCATGATTCTGGTTGAAGTTGGAGAACCTTCCTTAAGATGAACACTATTCCACGAACAAGCCAATGACGAAGCGTTAAACATCGAATTGGACTTGGTCGAAGAAGCGTGCGACCAAGCCATCATCAACATGGAGGCTTGTCGGACCAGGTTAATACGAAAACATCATACAAAGGTGAAGCCACGAGAATTTCAACCTGGCGACTTAGTCTGGCGGGTCACAGGTGAAGCAAGAAGAGACAAGGCTCAAGGAAAGTTGGCGCCCAACTGGGATGGCCCCTATCGTATAATGCACAACTTGCAGAACGGAGCTTACAAGTTGGAAGAACTCATAGGAAAAGCCATCCCTCGTACATGGAACGCAACACATTTAAAGCACTATTTTAGTTAGCAAACACAATGTAATTGTTTCGGTGCACTCTTTTCCTCTCTCCAGGTTTTCTCCTCTAAAAAAGTGTGAAAAGAGGTTTTCCTGAGAAGAGGTTTTTAACGAGGCACCATATCAATGAAACAAGCTCCTTTTCAAGAATCTTTTATCTACTCAATCTAATTCAAATACATAATTCCCTCCCGAGCAACCTCGCTCGGCCAAGGATGAAATAACACTCCCCTCCCGAGCAACCTCGCTCGGCCAAGGATGAAATAACATTTTCCTCCCGAGCAACCTCGCTCGGCCAAGGTTGAAAGCATTTCCCTGCCGAGCAACCTCGCTCGGCCAAGGTTGAAAGCACTCCCCTCCCGAGCAACCTCGCTCGGCCAAGGTTGAAAGCACTCCCCTCCCGAGCAACCTCGCTCGGCCAAGGATGAAATAACACTCCCCTCCCGAGCAACCTCGCTCGGCCAAGGTTGAAAGCACTCCCCTCCCGAGCAACCTCGCTCGGCCAAGGTTGAAAGCATTTCCCTGCCGAGCAACCTCGCTTGGCCAAGGTTGAAAGCACTCCCCTCCCGAGCAACCTCGCTCGGCTAAGGTTGAGAAAAAACACTTCCCCCCGAGCAACCTCGCTCGTCCAAGGTTGAAAGCATTTCCTTGCCGAGAAACCTCGCTCGGCCAAGTTTGAAAGCACTTCCCTCTCGAGCAACCTCGCTCGGCAAAGGATGAGAATAAACACTTCCCTCCCGAGCAACCTCGCTCGGCCAAGGTTGAAAGCACTTCCCTCCCGAGCAACCTCGCTCGGCCAAGGTTGAAAGCACTTCCCTCCCGAGCAACCTCGCTCGGCCAAACTCGAAGATGCACTCCCATCCCGAGCAACCTTGCTCGGCCAGTGTTGAATAAACAAGTTCCTATCGAGCGTAGCTACTCGGTCAATGAGTTCATCACTCACCTTGTCCGACTAAGGATAACTTGTCCAAAGCCTTCCTGAATACCTCTCTCGGTTAAAAAGGAAAAAACCAAGTCCCCTTCAGCCGAATGGGGAAACGACCAATAACCTACCAAGAAAGAAGGAAGAATCCGCCCTCTTTGTTCAAAATGAAACAAACATCCTAGCGACCCGAACACATACGAGTCGACTCGGCTATTTAAGAACTTAAGCAAGACTCACGCAACACCGAATACATAGGAGCATAACAGAAAAGAAAGCAAAGTTCGAATAGGTGACAGAAAATTCATTAAGGGCTCATTGGCCAAAACG